TGGAATCTAAAGACCTTTGTGATGTTAAATTGCGAAGCTTTTTCCGTTCAGGGAAACGGGGTGGTTATGGCGGCACGTAGACTCTCAATCACTCGCCAAAACGCAGTAATATGCTGTCACTCAAAAACACAATGTCCAATCTCACCCAAAGGTCGCAGGCATAATGAGACTCGAGTTCGGAAATGTTTGTTATGCCATTTGTACATAATGGTTAGAGCGCCACCTAGTGGAACGACTAACAAATCATGAATGAATGAGTTGAAATGTTAGCTGGTGGTTAAATGCATGAATTCCATCAATGTGACATCGACGGACGTGCTGGTTTTAGGTGTTGGGCGTGGCTCGACGTGCCGGGGGTGCGAGGGCCCTCATAACGCTGCTTGCAGCTTTAATTATTATTATTATTATTATTATTCACCCCAAACAAGGGCCTTTTTGAGGGCCTAAACATGCTCAAAAACTCATGAAATTTTGCACACATGCCAGGTCTGGTGAAAAATTTTGTATTTTAATGGTTTTACATATGAGCACTGGGAAATGGCTCTACAGCGCCACCTATGCCTTGTTAAATGCAGCCCTACGACCACATCGTTTGAGCTACATGTATGAAATTTGGCACACATATGTATCATGCCAAGACGAACAAAAAAGTCTGTGGGCCCATTGACGCAAACCCAACAGGAAGTCCGCCATTTGGAAGAGAAGGTGACATTTTGGCTCTAATTTTGCCATTTCCATGCCTCGAACTTTTGCGAACTCCTCCTTGGGGTTTCATTTCTTAACCTTCAAATTTGGACAGTGTCAACTACACCCTTGTGCCATGTTAAATTGCGGAGCTTTTGAGTTTTCACAATACTATGAGGCCGTGGCGCCATGGCGAATTTCGATGACTCGCCATGAAAATCTTATTGCCTCTCATTTTGTCATACATTTTCTGACCTTGACCAAAGTGAACACATATGATAAGGCTCCACCCCTGAACATATTTCAACTGCCATATTTGACCTCAAGGACAGCGCCACCTAGTGGGAACAGGAAATGTCATGTTTTACACTTTGGGGTACAGTATAGTAATGGGTGACATCTGCAGCCTCAAATTTCTCCAGGAAAGCCTTAAGGAGTTGGTCTTGGGTTACAGTGAAAACTGTGAGTTTTCGCGAAAGGGTGTGACCCCAGCAGCATGGCGAACTTTGATGTCACGCCATGAAGAAACAAATTAGTATAACTCAATGAAATCCAGTCTGATCAGTACCAGACTTTACAGGCATGATGTCAGACCCGCCCTGAACAGATTGATGTGCCCATTGTCGGAAATACGGACAGCGCCACCTAGTGGCAACAGGAAATGTCATGGCTTTAATTTTGTTGTACTGATTTTCACAGGTTCATCCTGGCCACCTCAAAAGCGGTGAATATCACCATCAGTCCCTCGTGATGCTTCAGTGCAAAAATTGTGACTTTAAACTGAACGGCGCACCCTGGTGGCAACGCTGTTCACGATGAAAGATGAAGTGGCTTTTGAGGGTCTTGGCAAGTTTATAGAGGCTTGAAATTTGGCACACACCTCCAATGTGACGAAGGCTTTGTTGTTATGTGATCATTTTCATTGAATATCCCAAAATGGCTCCACAGCGCCCCCTACAATATTTCAAAACCACAGCCCCAGCTCTGTGTTTTATGTATGAATCTGAAACCTGGTAGGCTTATAGGAGATATCAAGATGTACAAAAAAGTCTCTTGGAGCAATATCCCAAATCCAACAGGAAGTCAGCCATTTTAAAATTAATGTGCAATTTTGGCGACATTTTCTCCTCTTTTCAGGCTTCATACTTTGACGAACTCCTCCAAGGGATTTCATCATATTGAACCATTCTCCAGTGTGTGGAATCTAAAGACCTTTGTGATGTTAAATTGCGAAGCTTTTTGCGTCCAGGGAAACGGGGTGGTTATGGCGGCACTTAGAGTTTGAATCACTCGCCAAAAAGCAGTAATCTGCTGTCACTCAAAAACACAATGTCCAATCTCTCCCAAACGTCTCGGGTGTGATGAGACTCGAGCTTGGAAGTGTTTGTTATGCCATTTGTCAGTAATGGTTAGAGCGCCACCTAGTGGGAGGACTATAATGATGATTGAATGAGATGAAATGTTAGCTGGTGGTTAAATGCATGAATTCCATCAATGTGACATCAGATCGGAGGTGCTGGTTGTAGGTGTTGGGCGTAGCTCGACGCGATGGGGTGCGAGGGCCCTCATAACGCTGCTTGCAGCTTTAATTATTATTATTATTATTCAGGCGAAACAAGGGCCTTTTTGAGGGCCTTAACATGCTCAAAAACTCATGAAATTTTGCACACATGCTAGGTCTGGTGAAAAATTTTGTATTTTAATGGTTTTACATATGAGCACTGGGAAATGGCTCTACAGCGCCACCTATGCCTTGTTAAATGCAGCCCTACGACCACATCGTTTGAGCTACATGTATGAAATTTGGCACACATATGTATCATGCCAAGACGAACAAAAAAGTCTGTGGGCCCATTGACGCAAACCCAACAGGAAGTCCGCCATTTGGAAGAGAAGGTGACATTTTGGCTCAAATTTTGCCATTTCCATGCCTCGAACTTTTGCGAACTCCTCCTTGGGGTTTGATTTCATAACCTTCATATTTGGTCAGTGTCAACTACACCCTTGTGCCATGTTAAATTGCGGAGCTTTTGAGTTTTCACAATACTATGAGGCCGTGGCGCCATGGCGAATTTCGATGACTCGCCATGAAAATCTTATTGCCTCTCATTTTGTCATACATTTTCTGACCTTGACCAAAGTGAACACATATGATAAGGCTCCACCCCTGAACATATTTCAACTGCCATATTTGACACCAGGTACAGCGCCACCTAGTGGGAACAGGAAATGTCATGTTTTACACTTTGGGGTACAGTATTGTTATGGGTGACATCTGCAGCCTCAAATTTCTCCAGGAAAGCCTTAAGGAGTTGGTCTTGGGTTACAGTGAAAACTGTGACTTTTCGCGAAAGGGTGTGACCCCAGCAGCATGGCGAACTTTGATATCTCGCCATGAAGAAACAAATTAGTATAACTCAATGAAATCCAGTCTGATCAGTACCAGACTTTACAGGCATGATGTCAGACCCGCCCTGAACAAATTGATATGCCCATTGTCGGAAATACGGACAGCGCCACCTAGTGGCAACAGGAAATGTCATGGCTTTAATTTTGTTGTACTGATTTTCACAGGTTCATCGTGGCCACCTCAAAAGCGGTGAATATCACCATCAGTCCCTTGTGATGCTTCAGTGCAAAAATTGTGACTTTAAACTGAACGGCGCACCCTGGTGGCAACGCGGTTCACCATGAAAGATGAAGTGGCTTTTGAGGGGCTTGGAAAGTTTAAAAAGTCTTGAAATTTGGCGCACACCTCCATTGTGCTTAAGGCTTTGTTGTTATGTGATCATTTTCATTGAATAGCGCAAAATGGCTCCACAGCGCCCCCTACAATATTTCAAAACATCAGCCCCAGCTCTGTGTTTTATCTATGAGTCTGAAACCTGGTAAGCTTATAGGAGATATCAAGATGTACAAAAAAGTCTCTTGGAGCAATATCCCAAATCTAACAGGAAGTCAGCCATTTTAAAATTAATGTGTAATTTTTGTGATATTTTCCACTCTTTTCAGGCTTCATACTTTGACGAACTCCTCCAAGGGATTTCATCATATTGAACCAATCTCCAGTGTGTGGAATCTAAAGACCTTTGTGATGTTAAATTGCGAAGGTTTTTACGTTCAGGGAAACGGGGTGGTCATGGCGGCATGTGGAGTTTCAGTCACTCGCCAAAAAGCAGTAATCTGCTGTCACTCAAAATCAAAATGTCCAATATGTCCCAAAGGTCGCAGGCGTGATGAGACTCGAGCTCGGAAATGTTTGTTATGCCATTTGTCAGTAATGGTTAGAGCGCCACCTAGTGGGACGACTATAATCATGATTGAATGAGATGAAATGTTAGCTGGTGGTTGAATGCATGAATTTCATCAATGTGACATCAGATCGGAGGTGCTGGTTGTAGGTGTTGGGCGTAGCTCGACGCGATGGGGTGCGAGGGCCCTCATAACGCTGCTTGCAGCTTTAATTGGTTTTGTAGCTGGTGTGAGTGTGCAGTGGCACTTTTAGGGAAACAAAACAAGTGTGGCCTTTCTGTGATCTCAGAAAATGGAAGCTTGGAATTGGCAATATTTCATTTTTGAATATTTCACTTGTAGGTGTCTAGAATAATGTTACCTTGGAAAATACAACTTCCCAGTTAAGTTTGGTGAGTGTCTGTCTGAGTTTAAGTTCTTACTTCAAGCACTATTTGCATAGATAAGATAAGATAAACCTTTATCAGTCCCAGTATGGTCACAGCACAAAGCGGACAATACAAAGTTAAGGGCAGCAAAAATTACGAAAAACAGTAGAATAGAATAAAATAAAATAAAATTCTGTACAAAAGAGAATAAAATTTTTTAGCCTTATTTTCAGAGTAATCTGGGGTGGGGATAAGTTCTCTGTTGGGGACAGGAAATTGAGGGCTCTTGTCACTGAAGAACTTTTTGCCAAATGTGAAGGTTGGCAGGCAACTGTGAAGGGGGCTCAAGTCACTTTGCTCTTCTTTAAATAATCATTTATTTTCCTCCCACACAGCATATACAGTGCAATACAAATACACGTATTCTTCTTTTTTATTACTAAGTTATTATACTCTGTTGTGTTGCGTTGTGATGTGTCGTATCGTGTTGTGTTGTGCGACTGTGCAATGACAATAAAGAGTTATCTTCTTATCTTCATATTAATTTAGGGCCACTTTAAAATTCCATAATCAGTCAGTTCACTTTGGCTCCTTCACTGGGAACCAGTTTTGCCTTCAGTTAGCTTTTTATTTCTACTCATCACAACTACTTAGAAAGCAAAATTCAAACCTCAGACCTGTAACTACACCACTGACCTCTGACTTTCAGCTCCACTTCTTTCTTCATCAGGATGTTTCCCTCCCTGCTGTAGACAGTGCAGGTGTAGGTGGAGTTGTCTCTCTCCGTGGGGTATTTCAGGGTCAGACTGAGGTCTCCAGTTTTCAGCAGACCTTCTTTCATCTTCGTTCGGCCTCTGTAATCCTGTTCCTGTTCTTCAGGCCGGTCAGAGCTGTTCTCATACACGTGGACCTTTCCATATTTGTCCTTCCACACCACCTTAATGTCTTTAGACACTTGAACTAAGGTTTTGCAGGGCAGCTGGACAGACTCCCTGCCTGAATCCACCTCCACCTTGTGAACTGAGAGAAACAAAGCACAACACGATGACATGAGCAGCAGCATTGAGAATGTTTTATTTGACTGGATAACTTTTCCAGTAAAATCCATTCTGACTGGACACATTTGATGACGATGAGCAGAAGCAGGCAGAGAGAAGAAAACGCTCTTATTTTTATTTGTGTGTAATTGACACCTGATGGGATGGGACTACACTGTTAAAGCTAATAATATAAAAATGACAACAGTCACCTGTTCAAACTGGTTACATCTGTTAGATTCTTTGACATTTAACTAATCAGATCATTTTAAATAAACACTGACCTTTGACCTATATCTACAGAACTGACCTCTGACAATGAGCAGCACTTCCTTCTTCATCAGGATGTTTCCCTGCTGATTGTAGAGGGTACAAGTGTAGGTGTTCGTGTCTCCATCTGTGGGGTGTTTCAGGGTCAGACTGAGGTCTCCAGTTTTCAGCAGGTTTTCATTCATCTTCGTTCGGTCTCTGTAATCCTCGTCCTGTTCTTCAGGCTGGTCAGGGTCGTTCTCATACACGTGGACCTTCCTGTTTTTCATGTCCTTCCACTCCACTTTAGCGTCTTTAGACAGGAAAACTGTGGTTTTGCAGATCAGCTGGACAGACTCCACCCCTGAATCCACCTCCACCTTATCACCTGAGATGACAACAAAGTTTCTTTTACTAGAGCAATGTTATTCTCCCAGTGTAATGGAACATGCCTTTATTATGTATTTTGTATTCCTTTTCTTTGTACAGTTGTACAAAAAGAGAGAGAGAATTTATTTCCATCGTTGAATCACAACAAGCAGCCTGTTTCTTTGACGATAAGGTGCTGGGAACAATAGCTAAAATTATGTTGTCTCTAAACAAACTTTAGTGAGGACAGCATGAGCACTAAAATGATTTTTGTTGACTGGATAAGTTAAAATATTTCCAGTAAAATCTGTTCTGACTGGTTCCAGTCTCAGAAATTACCGACTATAGATGGGACATGAAAAAGTCTGTGTATTGAAGGAACGGAGGAGCTTTGAGCCAACTGATACTTGGCACACTATTACAATCTGACCTTTGACCTGTATCTACAGAACTGACCTCTGACAGTGAGCAGCACTTCCTTCTTCATCAGAATCTTTTGCCTCCGGCTGTAGACGGTGCAGGTGTAGGTGTCACTCTCTTTGGGATGTTTCAGGGTCAGACTGAGGTCTCTAGCTTTCAGCCATTTCCTCTTCATCTCCGTTCGGCCTCTGTAAACCTGGTGCTGTTCTCCAGGCTGGTCAGAGCCGTTCTTATACACGTGGACCTTCCTGTCTTTCATGTCCTTCCACTCCACTTTAGCGTCTTTAGACAGGCAAACTGTGGTTTTGCAGGGCAGCTGGACAGACTCCACCTCTGAATCCACCTCCACCTTGTAACCTTTGAGGACAACAAAGGACAACATGATGACGTCAGCAGCAGCTGTGAACAAGTTTGTGTGAGCCACAGTCAAGGAGCCACCAGAGGACACCTGCTAACCATCGGCATTATGGGTAGTGTAGTAGGAGACACTCACCTGACATGAAATACTGTCGGAAATAATATATGAGACCTCCAGAAACCACAAGAAGAACCAGGAGAAACAGGAGCACAAGAACAGCTTTCGCCAGGATGGAAATGGTTCTGTACAGAAACATAAAAATATGACCTCTGACCTGTATCTACATCTCTGACCTTTGACCTGTGGCATCATCACTGACCTTTGACCTTCAGCACTACTTTCTGTCTCAGGATGTCTTTGTCCCTGTAGATGGTGCAGATGTATCCTCCACCGTCTCTCTCTGTGGGTATTTCAGGGTCAGGCTGAGGTCTCCAGTTCTCAGCAGGTCTTTGTTCATCTTTGTGCGACCACAGTAAAGGTCGTCCTGGTTCTTAAGGTGGTCACTTCTGTTTGGATACACATGGATCATCATGAGTTCTCGGTCAGAGCGAGTCCACTCCACTGTGGTGTCCTCAGGCAGGTCAGGTGTTGTTTTGCAGGGCAGGATGACGGAGTCTGAGCCTTCCTCCACTTTAACCACCACTTGCTGGTCTGTGAGGACAATAAACCACAACATCAGCTGTAGAAGCAGACAATAGGAGTCGTAGCACTGATCTAATCTGGGTATGTTTTGCCAATTGTGATTGTATACAAGAACCATACTTTTCAACAATAAAAGTTAAATAATAAATAATAACTGCTTCCTGTTTCAGCTACATTTACTTTATTGCTCTTTTCAATGAACGTAAAGATTTGAAGCACTGATGTCAAAGAGCCTGAAATTACAACAACCTTGACCTGAGGTCACTCTGCAACAATGCTATCTAAGCACTTGGTGACAGTGAGAAGGAAAAGTTCCTTTTAACAGGAAAAAAGCTTAAATATTTATATTTTATGTGACCACCCATAAAACTTAAATTCTGTTTCTTTGCTTTACTTTTCCTACTGAAAACGTCATCAGTGCAGGCTCTGCACACGAACAAACAAATACAAATCATCTTTTTATGGGAATTTGAATCCAATATTCCTGAGAGTTTCCTTCTCTTTTTGGTGAACAGGGCCTCAAATGAAAACCACATTTTCTGAACTCAATGATCCGAACTCAAAATGGACCAATCTTTAGAACTAACGTTTGTCCAGAAAAGGTAAAAAATTATAATTCACAACAGTAAAGAGATATCATTAATGTGTCAAGCCCCAGCATGTTACAGTGCTTTAACTCGACATGGCCGTGACTGTTAGACTGTTACGACTATCAGGACACTTTGGATGAACATTGATTTGTTTGATTTCTGCTGTTTCAGCTTCTTACAGGCAGAGTTTCACTGTACTGCTGACCTTTGACCTGCAGCTGTACATCTCCCACTCTAACTTTATTTCTTTCATTGCTGAGTGTGCAGGTGTATTTTCCGCTGTCAGTCAGCTGGAGGTTTTTCAGAGTGAGGCTGAAGTCTCCAGAGTCCAGAGCATCAGGCCTCATCGATGTGCGCCCGCTGTAACGCTGGTTTTGTCCTCTGAGATCATCGGTTTCTTCTTGTCTCACGTGGACAGATTGGGGATTGAGATCGTTGCGAGTCCATGTTACTGTGGGGTCCACAGGTGGTAAACCTGAGTACTGACAGGGCAGCAGGACAGATCTTTCCCCCTCATTCACCTCCACCAACACAGCCAGGGCATGCTGGGAAACTGAGGACATATAAACAGACAAACAAATTATCTGTGACCTGTGGATTACAGCAAGAAATCACAGCTTAATCTGAACATGTTTAATGTAGATGTATTCTGCTGTTAGTGTAGTTACACATGCTCATAGTTATAAGGGAAATGTTAATGAATGTTGTGATGCATTCACGGGAAAATTTCTGCTCAGTTCAAAGAGGACGGGAAGCACAAACCTGCACGATCTCTCCTGCTGCACTTCAACACATTAAAGAGAGAGAGATGAAAGAAAAGCTGATGATGAGAGCAGAGAGAGGAAGGTGTACTTACCGTGCAGGAGGATCACAAACACCACAAACATCTTCATGTTCCTGTCAAACTCAGAGACTCTTTAAAAGCCCTTCAGGACATCAGCTCACAGCAGCTTCACTTTCCTCTGCTGATCATCTACTGACACTCTCACACTGCTTCACTGTCACAGCTCAGAGTTCAGCTTCACACTTTGTTAAAGCACATCTGTGGAATGAAGTCCGGCCGGCCACAGATCACTTCTGAGGAAAGAGGAGGACGTCGGCTTTCCTCCTAGTTTCACGCCCGAGCGCTCCGGTTGGAGGCGGCTGCTGCGGCCTCACCCTGACACGCACAAAGCTCCGCCTCCAGTCCTGACCATGAAACATCCACTGTAGCTACAACGATGCAGATGTGACCCTCAGCAGCTGGATTTCCTCTCCATAGATGTGTTTCCATGCAGATCATGGACATAAAGCAGGATGAAGAGTGTGAAAGAACTTCTTCCACTACAGTATTCATTACAGCACTGTGGCACTCCACAAACCTCACACTGTCTCAATCCCTGTTTCCAGTTTGACTGAGAGAAGGCCTGAAGCTCAGCCAATCACAGGACAGGAAGTGATCAGCTGACACAGTGATTTGAAGCTGTCAGGGTGAGGCTGCTTCATGCAGGTGTGAAACTATGAGGAAGCTGAACGCCTCCTCTTTCCTCAGAAGTGATCTGTGGCAGTCTGCCATCATGTTTGGCTGCTCACACTGAATGTGACTCACTGTTGGGGTGTAGCTCAGGTGGTGGAGCAGGTCCTCTGCTATTCGGAAGGCTGGTGGTTCACACTGCAGGGGGTGGTTCACTCCCTGCAGTGTGCATCCCAAATATCTTTCAGCAAGACACTAACTCCAAGTTGCTCCGTGATGCATCACAGTGTGGATGTTAGAGGGTGAGGAAAACGTGCTTGGATTAATGAGTGAAGTTGATTAAAGTGCTTTGGGTATAATCACTGATTAGAACACGAACATGAACACAGAGCTGCAGAGAGACAGGATGAGGTGAAAGCTGCGACCCTGGTGTGGTCAGAGGGGTCACGGGTGTTTACATGTCATCTAAGGAAAGATTTAATATTTCAATAATATAAATTAAATATAAATATAAATATAAATTACACAAGTTTGCAAAATCCACACAGACAAAAGAGATGGTTTCAATAATATAAATACTTTATCTAAAAGATATGCAGTGCAATAAAACAAACACAACACACAAAAAGACTGCAGCACCATGTTGGCCACAAATCAGCATTAAATCAGAGAAAGTAAAGAGGCTGGATGGAGCAGTAACTCAGCAGGAACACAAAACACTTCAGCTTCACACTCGGAGCTGCACAGTAAAGGAAACCTTTCAGAGTGATGTGGAGTAAAGGAAACATGGAGGGAGGAAACCACCAGCAGGGAGGCCACACCGCTGCTGGCTCGTCCTTCAGTAACCAAACACAGAAACGAAAAAGTGACACATCACATAAAAACATGTAGTCCAAAGCTAAAAGGACAAACATGTTCACCACAAATACTAAACACAGTGTTAAACAGTCACAGTGAGGCTGAGCTGTGTCAGTTTCACCTCTGACACAACAATCACTCATTAAAGGAAACTGCAGAGCTGCACTTCCTGTGGCAGCTCGAATCACCACGATGACTCCGAGCAAACGTCCCTCACACAGAAGCTCAGTTCTGCTTCCTGTGTGATCGGATTATGCTCAGGATGAACTCTGTTCAGGAGGAAACAGTTATCACTGATGATGTTTGAAATAACTTGCAGAAATCCAGTTAGAAGCCAGAGAAGACGAACGTTCGAGCATCATAATTTTTAATGGGACAGGTTACAAAAATTAAACTCTATAAACTCTGAGTGTGACCATGTTTCAGTGTAATGTGCAGCTCAGAGATAACCAGCACCACTGAGCTCAACGTTAAAGTCATGAACTTCTTTATGGCTCTGTGTTCTGAGTCACCAGGCTAAACAAAAACATCTGCAGCATTGTTTACATCAGTGTTGCATTTTACTGGTATATTTATGATCTTCTGTACAGATTATTGATTATTTCACCATCATTATCATCTGATAACATCTCTGACTGCAGTATGTGGATTTCACAAAGATTTAGAGCTGAAAAAAGTAACAGGACAAGAAGTTTAACGGAGACGGTTGATAACCAACTGTTTCCTCCAGGTTTTCTCAAGGCAGCAGAGACAAAGAAGTCTTTCCTGATATGTTCATGTTCTGCAAACACAACATGACTCAAATGTCTTCAGCTGCACCACAGATGAGTCCGTGCCGGTATCTACAGTGGCATTCACAAACGTGTTTACAGGCTGACTTTAATGTGTTTCTGCACATGCTTGTCCTCTGGTCATGTGATCATGTGTTTGTAGGACGCTCCTCTTCCTCAGAGGATCCACCTGTGCTTCCTCTCCTCTCTCCTCCACCTGTTACAGTGAGGGAACGTCCTCCATGATGGAGGAGCTGCTGGAAAGTGCTGAGAGTTTCCTCCAGAGTGAGACCTCTGTCACAGTTCAGAGGATCTACGGCAGCAGAGACCTTCATGGACACTAAAAGTCTCAAACACACAACAACAACATCACACTGACTCCACTCTGACATCACTGATCAATAATCAAAGAACACACAGATCAAACTGATTGATCAGCCATCAGAGGAGTCGGATCAATGGAGCTGCTTCTGTTCCTGATGTCCCCTGTTTGATCCTGGACCTGAACTCTCCCTGCAGAGGAGACACAGGACAGTCAGACAGGGACAAACAAATAAATAAACAAAAAACAAACAAACCAACAAACCTTTGATTTTCAGCAGCACAGTTTTGCCTCTGTGGATGTTTCCCTTCCTTCTAACCACACAGTTGTACCTCCCACTGTCTCTCTCTGTGGGGTGTTTCAGGGTCAGACTGAGGTCTCCAGTTTTCAGCAGGTCTTCATTCATCTTCGTTCGGTCTCTGTAAACCTGGTTCTGTTCTTCAGGCTGGTCAGAGCCGTTTCGATATATGTGGACCTTCCTGTAAAACCCGTTCTTCCACTCCACCTCAGCATCTTCAGGCAGGTTTTGTGTGGTTTTAAAGGGCAGCTGGACAGACTCCGCCCCCTCCTCCGCCTCCACCTGACAGACTGAGAGGACAACAAACACAACATGAGCTGTACAGAGAGCAGCAGGTGTCACAGTTGTAGAGAAAGCTAAAGGAAAGAAGCAGATTTGAGGAGTCATCACTGAGAAGACTTGTTGCTTATTTCATTTTTCATAGAACATCACATTAAGATCAAGAAACATTGATTAGATTTATTTGTCCTTTGTTTTGAGAAGCAGTTACCGTGTCTCAGTTCTCCTGCTGCATTTTCAATTTGGTCACTTCTTTATAAAAATGTTTTTTAAACTAATCTTGTGATAACATGTGGAGATAAAGTGTGAATTTCCCTCCACATATTTGCACCTGATCCTTTCATGTATGTGTATTTTGCTGCAGTAACATCTGGCTGTCACAGCTGGACTGGCTCTTTAACTGGTGTGAGAGCTCTACACACAGCTTCATGTTGTCAGCTGTACGGACAGGAATGTCTGATGACTCTTTGTCTATAACAGAGATGTTACCCACTGTCTGTGATGGACTTCCTTTTACCATGTGACCTTTAACTTCTCATCAGTACTGATCACAACTATTTAACTGACAGGAAACAGATAAGAAGATTACAACATCTGACCTTTGACCTGTATCTACAACACTGACCTCTAAATTTCAGCTCCACTTGCTTCTTCAGCAGGATGTTTCCCTCCCTGCTGTAGACGGTGCAGGTGTAGGTGTTTGTGTCACAGCCTGTGGGGTGTTTCAGGGTCAGACTGAGGTCTCCAGTTTTCAGCAGGTCTTCATTCATCTTCGTTCGGCCTCTGTAAACCTGGTGCTGTTCTTCAGGCTGGTCAGAGCCGTTCTCATACACGTGGACCTTATCGGTATCACTGTCCATCCACTCCGCCTTAGCATCTTCAGGGAGGTTTCCTGTGGTTTTGCAAAGTAACTGGACAGACTCCACCCCTGATTCCACCTCCACCTGACAGACTAAGAGGACAATAAACACAACATGAGCTGCACAGACAGTAACAGATGATGATGGAGACAGAATTGTCATTTTCTGTCTGTTTAATCCTGAGCAGATCTGGCTGCTTCTTAAAGTCAACTGGTCAGAATCAAAGCTTTCTTTGAAGGGGAGTCAAGGTGTCCATTGCAGGAAATGTTAAATGTAATGTTTTCTTGAACCAAGGATGGTGGTTCAGGGAAACTAAGAGAGACTGGTCCTGGGTGAGGGGCCAGACTAAGAGCAGTTTATAAGTTATTGTTAAAAACGGGTTCAAATATTGAGGGTGAGCACAAAAACAATAATGGTCCAGAAGAGCTTCAGTCAAACAATGATTTTAATGAACACACGCGTGGGGAGATGAACACTGCACCATCAGCATCAATCTCACCTCAAAACTGCACAATAAACTGTTTTATAACATCAGGGCATTTTAATGACGCCCCGTCATGCGTCAAGAAGATACAATACATACACGAGTTTGAAAAACACACACATTCTGTTGACGACTTTTGACACATTTAAAAGGACATCTTCTCCGTCTGCAGGCCAGGCGCTTCCCGGTAATCTTCTAACTCTGTTTATCTCCTGGAACAAACTGTCCCTTAGGCAGACACAATTTTGCAATCACAAGCTTTTGCAACTATTATTTGAAGTCTTACCTAATCATGAGTCTAACTACTGTTTGTGTGTGTGTCTCGACCTCAAAATGCACTCGGCCTCAACCCGCCCGTTGATGCTTCTGACCTTTTACCAGACAGAAGCTCTCTGTGATAGGTGTAATAATCTTAACTAAGAACATGTGTAATCTATTGAATAAATGCTTTGATGAAATGATAATTAATGTAATGGTAATGATGATGGTTATGAATAGTAGCAGTAAATTATTTCCCTGATCTCTACTATATGCATATTGATGATAGCAGAAGTCCAGAAACCTGGACTGAATGAGGCACACCACTGCTCCTCTGAGAACACTTAACCTGCTCAGGCCTTGACCCACGGGGCTTGTCCAGCCATTCACCGAGCTGTCATTGTTCGACTGATACTGACAGCCTTCAATTCCCTGGCATGTCACGAACTGGCACAATGTGCTGAGTCCACACAAAAAGTTTACATAAACAAAAAATATATATTTATTAAAGATATCTAGAGGGTGTAGCCTGCATTTCAGGCTATGGTAACTGGGATAGACTC